CTAACTAGAAGACTGGAATTTTAAAGGGATGTTTCCTGACAATCCTGGCGGCTAGTCTGAAATTCTTTTAGCAAGAAGCATCTGCCAGAAAAAACAGTGTCATATGCGACAAAAATCTGCGAGGAGCTATGCAAAAAACGCATTTTCGCACAGACAGCCGTGTGTTGGGCAGTAATTATTATGCATTTTTTATGCGTTTTTTGCAGCAGTGCAATGCGAAAAACGCATATTGACGAGAGGTTGTCTGTGTGATTTTTATGCGTTTTTTGCAGCAATGCAATGCGAAAAACGCATATTGACGAGAGGTTGTCTGTGTGTTCGTGTGTCTGTGTGCCTGTGTGTGCGTCTGTCACGCACTTTCATCTCCGGACCTATAAAAGCTGCGATGTGTCTGTGTGTGCGCTGGGCCTCTGTATCGGTTTTTCATCTCGAGACCGGCAAAAGCTACGGAGCTGAAACTTTGGGGACCGCGCGCCTGGGCTCGCCAAAGTTGTTCCTGCGTAAATTCATAACTCGCGAACCAGAAAAGCTAGAAAGCTGAAATTTTAAGGGTATGTTCCCCGTCCAAGTAGGTACTAACGAGCTCAAACCCAACACCCGGGTAAGCGTGGTACCCGCGTATGGGCCCGCCAAAGTTTTCCCGCGCAAATTCATAACTCGTGAATCTGAGATGCCAGAAGACTGTAACGTTAGGAGGGTGTTTTTCCTTCACATTAGTCTCAACGAGATCAAACCCAGCCCACGGCTATGCGTGGTACCTACGCACACGTTCACCAAACTTTTTCTCGGGTAAGCTCAAACTGGAGAACCTGTGAAGCTAAAAGATTGTAGTTTCAGGAGGATGTTCCACGTCCGAGTAAGTCTCAACGAGCTCAATCCCAGACATCTGATACACGTTGTACCCGAGTGCGGGCTCGTAAAAAATTTTTTCCAGTAAACTGCTAACTCAGGAGCCAAGAAAGTTAGAGAGCTGAAATTTTGAGGGGGTTTTTCCTGCCAGTTTTGGCGGCCAGTCTTAATTTGTTTAGCTAGAAGGATTTTCCAAAAAACCGATGCCGGTAGCGACAAAAACTGCGGGGAACTATGCAAAAAGTGCATCTTCGCACTGGCAGCCCGTGTGTTTGCCAATTATTTTTGATGAATTGTATTATGTGGAAACCCCACAGCAGTCACCCACTGCAGCAACTCCTTTAAGTAGTACATTGTACCTGTTGTGAACTACACAACAAACACTGCTGCTATGCTCCTGGCACGTCCTCTTATCTCACTGCTTACCTAAGTAGTGCCTTATTTTTCCAATGATCTTCAGAACTGAATGTTTCAGGGCGATAGTGGCGGTGGCGTGATGGCACAACTATATGATGGCCGTTGGGTATTGCTTGGTATTCATGCAGTGGGCCATGTTTGTCAGTACCCCCCCGGAAATTATAGACCGATCCTGCAAGGTCATACGAGTGTTGCACTTCATGCAGCCGATATTGCTCGCTTTACTGGCCTCTTCTTACCACTGGTGCATGTTTGACTTCTTTTCTAGATGCTCTCATTTCTGGATAAATTTTTCAAGAAACAAGAGGCTTTAACAAAATTACAAAGATACACTGATGACTGCCTGATCAATTCACGCTGTTTGAGAAAAAAATCATTGGTGGCGTGCACCGAGCGGGCGCTTTTGCGATATCTTGTGCTGCTCTAAGATCGTTTGGAATCGCAACAACCAGAATTTATGAAATACTGGTCTTCGTACTTCAGAAAGTTAGTCGTGCAGCTACCACGTCTACTTCGAAAGGGAACATTCTGTTAAAATTTCAGCTTTCCATGTTTTTCTGGTTCCCGAGTTAGCATTTTTCCCGCCAAATAATTTAGTGGGGCCACACTTGAGAACCACGCTCACCAAGGGCTGAATTTGAAATTTCTGAGTTCTAATTAGGCGGGGAACATATCCTTAAAATTTCAGTCACCCACCTTTCTGGTCCCGGTTTACGAATTTTCCCATCAAAAATTTTCGCGGGGCTGTAAGTGGGGACCATGCATACCTGGGGCTGATTTCTTCAAGTGAATTCTTCAAATTCTTCAAGTTTTGTAGAAATTTTAAAGAAATACAAATAGTAAATATTCTTGGCAAGGAGACTGGAAGAGAAAGGGAGCCTGAAATCCCCTATGTGTTAAATGCAGTTTGTTTGGCGTTACTGGCCCAGCGTGGGAAGGAACACAATCAAATTTCGATAATTAATGAAAACTGGAAGTGGCATTTAGACTTCCCAAATAATCAAGCTGTATGTGCAAAGAACTTGGTAACCTGTTTGGATTTCATCCCTGTATTGTAAATAGAGCCGGCAAAAACGGTGCAAAACGGGTTGGGAATCATTGGTACAGTACCTTCATTTGGCTGTGCTAATGGAACCATGTGGATTAATGAAGGAAGGTGAAGAAGGAAAGGAGGGATATGACGATGAGTTTATAAAGATTAATGTTGCAGCAGTAGAAAGAAAAGTAAAACTAACGCCTAGCAGATATGATTTCGTTTTTGTTTTTTCCGTTGGTGGTTCTCCAGATAACGCCATGCTTGTTCTAGGATCGCCGTCCTCCAGTCAGTGGTGATGCCAAAATGAATGAGTGTGGTCGGGCATGTGGCATGTTTTCTTTAAGTTTTATGTGGGATGGGAACATTCTGTTAAAAAATTTCAGCCTCTCAATTTTCTTGATTCTCAGGATAGCGATTTTTCCGACAGGAATCTTAACGGAGCAGTAGGTAAAAATTATGCATACCTGAAGGATGGGTTTGAAATCTTTGACTTTTATTTGAGCTCCTCAAAGTTTCAGCTTTCTGGATTTTCTGGCTTGAGTTAGCGATTTTCCCTCCAAGATTTTGACACTCTGCGTGAGGGTTGGTGCCGCGGTCCTGGGTTGGTACTTGACCGGGGAACCCACTAGCAAAATTTTGGCGCCCGCACTTGCTTGTTTACCGGGTTGAAACACTCGGACGGGCAAACGCATACATACACACACAAAATAAATACATACACCGGGGTCGTCACCGTGTGCGCTTTGCATTTGCATATATAAAAAAAAACGCATAATTATTAGCAAGTTCGTCCTGAAGCTTTTATCACTTTTTTCAAACTGATTCTTAAAAAACAAACACTACAAAGATTTACCGGCTATCCAGTTGGAGGACGTTAAAACACAAACACTGCAAAAAACTAACAGCTGATTCGGTTTGACACGCCGTT